GTTCTCCATGATGACAACTGTCCTGTCCCCTCTCCTGCTCTCCATGACAACTGTCCTATCCCTATCTCTCCTACACTTCCTTACACCTAAAAGTCCTTACACAGTAGAAGAAAGACTGCCAATATTCAAGCAGGAAATAAGAATTAAGAAAACAAAAACAGGTTGGGACCGGGTAGTGAGTGCAACCGGGCAGGCAGGAACTCCTTTGTTTCAATAGCCTTCCTACAGCAAGATAGACCTTTTGTCAGCGAGGTCCCTGGCCAGCAAGGGGCACTGATCCTGTAGCAAAAGATCCATCAGAGGGATGAGTGTGCTCCTGACCTGCAGAAGAAGTCTGGAAACGGAGCACAGACATTCCCCAACCCCCTTAACTTCCTGGTCATTCTGCAGGGGCTGCTCCACCCTGCTACGCCCTCTCGCCTTCTATCCCATCCCAGCTTTCACCCAGGAACCCCTTCCCTTCTTCCTCCATTGCTCGGGGCCATAAAATCCCCCAGCTCAGCCTCCTTGGGTGCTGGAGGGGGTGGTGAGTGCAACCAGGCAGGAGGGAGTTCCTTTGTTTCAATAGCCTGCAGGCAGCAAGGTAAGTCTTCTGTCAGACATGTCCCTGGCTAGCAAGGGGCACTGATCCTGTAGCAGAAGATCCATTGGAGAGCATTTGAAGGAAGAGATGGGCAGGCAACAAGGCAAGAATTCATCCAACAATCTGAAAAACAACATGAAAACACCAGAACCCAGCGATCTTAGAACAGAAGGATTTGAACACCCTAATACAGAAGAAGTGGAGAAAAGTGACACTATAAAAGCGAGAGAGTCCCATAAACAGAATATGAAAAACTCCCTTAAAGAAATGGATGAGAAGTATAACAAAAAGTTCGAAGAAATGAGTAAATCCGTAAATGATATCCTGGGAAACCAAGAAAAAACAATCAAACAGGTAATGGAAACAGTTCAAGAATTGAAAACTGAAATGGAGGCAATGAAGAAAACACAAACTGAGAGCCGGCTGGATATGGAAAATCTAGGCAAACGAACAGAGACTTCAGAAACAAGCATAACCAATAGAATACAAGAGATAGAAGAACGAATCTCAGATTCTGAAAACACAATAGAGAAAATAAACGCTTTGATAAAGGAAAACAGCAAATCCAACAAATTCTCATCACAAAACATTCAGGAAATCTAGGACACAATAAAAAGACCAACCTAAGAATAATAGGGGTAGAAGAAAGAGAAAAATTGTAGATCAAAGGCCCAGAAAATATATTCAACAAAATTAAAGAAGAAAACATTCCCAACCTAAAGAACGATATTCCTATGAAGGTTCAAGAAGCATACAGAACACCGAATAGACTGGATCAAAAAAAAACATCCCCTGGCCATATAATAATCAAAACACAAAGCATGCAGATTAAAGAAAGAATATTAAGAGCTGCAAAGGAAAAAGGTCAAGTAACTTATAAAGGTAAACCTATAAGACTTACACCAGACTTCTCTATGGAAACCATGAAAGCCAGAAGGTCCTGGATAGAGGTACTGCAGAAACTAAGAGACCATGGATACAAGCCCAGACTACTATACCCAGCCAAGCTATCGTTCACTATCAATGAAGAAAACAAAATATTCCAGGATAAAAACAAATTTAAACAATATGTAGTCACAAATCCAGCCTTAGAGAAAGTAATAGAAGGAAAATCACAACCCAAGGAATCCAACATTGCAACACTGCCTACAATAACTCGGAAATCTAGCGATCCTTCACAAGCACAAATCAAAGAAGGGAAACACACAAACTCTACTACCCCCCCCAAAAAAATAACCGGAGTCAACAACCACTGGTCATTAATATTACTTAATATCAATGGACTCAATTCACCTATAAAAAGCACAGACTAAGAGATTATATACGAAAACAGGATCCAACATTCTGCTGTTTACAAGAAACACACCTCAACCACAAAGACAGACATCTACTTAGAGTAAAGGGTTGGGAAAAGGTTTTTCAAGCAAATGGACCTAAGAAACAAGTGGGTGTGGCCATTCTAATTTCTAACAAAATTGACTTCAAAATAAAATCAATCAGAAGAGATGAAGATGGACATTTTATACTCATAACAGAAATAATTCATTATGATGAAGTCTCAATCCTGAATATGTATGCCCCTAATATAAAAGCACCCACATATGTAAAAGAAACACTTCTAGAACTCAAGGCAGTCAGCAAACCACACACACTAATAGTAGAAGACTTCAACACACCTCTCTCACCAATGGACAGGTCAACCAGACAGAAACCTATCAGAGAAATAAGAGAATTAATGGAGGTAATGAATCAAATGGACTTAACAGACATCTATAGAACATACCACCCAAATAGGAAAGACTACACCTTCTTCTCTGCACCTCATGGAACCTTCTCAAAAACTGACCACATACTCAGTAACAAAGCAAACTTCCACAGATACAAAAAAAATATTAGTAACCACCTGTGTCTAATCGGATCACCATGGATTAAAGTTAGAATTCAACAACAATGCTACCCCCAGAAAGCCTACAAACTCATGGAAACTGAATAGTCAACTACTGAATCACCCCTGGGTCAAGGAAGAAATAAAGAAAGAAATTAAAGTCTTCTTTGAATTTAATGAAAATAAAGACACAACATACTCAAACCTATGGGACACTATGAAAGCAGTGCTAAGAGGAAAGTTCATAGCACTAAGTACCCAATTAGAGAAAATGGAGAATGCACACATTGGAGACTTAACAGCACTAGAAAGCTCTAGAAAGCTTTCTAGAAAGCTCTAGAAAAAAAAAAAGCAGACTCACCCAGGAGACGTAGAAGACTAGAAATAATCAAACTGAGGGCTGAAATCAACAAAATAGAAACACAGAAAACAACCCAAAGTATCAATGTAACAAAAAGCTGGTTTTTGGAGAAAATCAACAAGATTGACAAACCCCTATCCAAACTAATCATACGGGAGGGAGAAAACACGCAAATTAATAAGATCAGAAATGAAAAGGGGGACATAACCACAGACACAGAGGAAATTCAGAGAATCATTAGATCTCACTACAAAAGCCTGTATGCCATAAAATTAGAAAATGTAAAAGAAATGGACATATTTTAGATAAGTATCAAATACCAAAGTTGAACCAAGACCAGGTGAACAATCTAAATAAAACTGTTAGTCGCGAAGAATTAGAAGTTGTTATCAAAAACCTCCCTACCAAAAAGAGCCCAGGACCAGATGGTTTCAATGCAGAATTCTACCAGAACTTCCAAGAAGAGCTAATACCTACACTCCTTAATGTATTTCACAATATAGAAACAGAAGAGTCATTGCCAAATTCTTTTTATGAAGCTACAGTTACCCTGATACCAAAACCCCACAAAGACACAACCAAGAAAGAGAATTACAGGCCAATCTCACTCATGAACATTGATGCAAAAATTCTCAATAAAATACTGGCAAGCCGAATGCAAGAACACATTAGAAAAATTATCCGTTATGATCAAGTAGGCTTCATCCCAGAGATGCAGGGCTGGTTCAACATACGCAAATCTATCAATGTAATCCATTATATAAATACACTGTAAGAAAAACAACCATATGATCATTTCATTAGATGCTGAAAAAGCATTTGACAAAATTTAACACCCCTTTATGATAAAGGTATTGGAGAGATTAGGGATACAAGGTTCATACCTAAATATAATAATACAGCAAGCCAACAGCTAACATCAAATTAAATGGAGAGCAACTCAAAACCTTTCCACTAAAATCAGGAACACGACTAGGCTGTCCACTCTCTCCATACCTCTTCAATATAGTGTTTGAAGTTTTAGCAATAACAATAAGACAACATAAGGAGATCAAGGGGATTCGAATTGGAAAGGAAGAAGTCAAACTTTCGTTATTTGCAGATGATATGATAGTGTACATAAACGACCCCAAAAACTCTACCAAAGAACTCCTACAGCTGATAAACACCTCTAGTAATGTGGCAGGACACAAGATCAACTCCAAAAAATCAGTAGCCCTTCTATATACAAAGGATAAAGAAGCAGAGAGGGAAATCAGTGAAGCATCACCTTTCACGATAGCCACAAATAGCATAAAATATCTTGGGGTAACTCTAACCAAGGAAGTGAAAGACCTATTTGACAAGAACTTTAAGTCTTTGAAGAAAGAAATTGAAGAGGATACCAGAAAATGGAAGGATCTCCCTTGCTCTTGGAATGGGAGGATCAGCATAGTAAAAATGGCAATTCTACCAAAAGCAATCTATAGATTCAATGCAATCCCCATCAAAATCCCATCAAAATTATTCACAGACCTTGAGAGAACAATAATCAACTTTATATGGAAAATCAAAAAACCTAGGATAACCAAAACAAACCTATACAATAAAGGAACATCTGGAGGTATTACCATCCCTGACTTCAAACTCTATTACAGAGCTACAGCATTAAAAACAGCTTGGTATTGGCATAAAAACAGAGAAGTTGACCTATGGAATCGAATAGAAGACCCAGATATTAACCCACCAATCTATGAACACCCGATTTTCGACAAGGGAGCTAAAAGTATACAATGGAAGTTATGCCAAATGGTGTTGGCATAACTGGATGTCAACCTGTAGAAGATTGAAAATAGATCCATATCTATCACCATGTATAAAACTGAAGTCCAAATTGATTAAAGACCTCAATATCAATCTGAACACACAGAACCTGATAGAAGAGAAAGTGGGAAGTACTCTACAACACATGGGCACAGGAGACCACTTCCTACGTATAACCCCAGCAGCACAGACATTAAGGGCAACATTGAATAAATGGGACCTCCTGAAACTGAGAAGCTTCTGTAAAGCAAAGGACACTGTTGTCATTAGGACAAAAAGGCTACCTACTGACTGGGAGAAGATCTTCACCAAACCAGCAACTGACAAAGGTCTGATCTCCAAAATATATAAAGAATTCAAGAAACTAGACTTTAAAATGCTAATTAACCAAATTAAAAAATGGGGCACTGAACAGAGAATTTTCAACAGAAGAAGTTCAAATGGCCAAAAGATACTTAAGGTCATGCTCAACCTCCTTAGCGATCAGCGTAATGCAAATCTGAGATACTATCTAACATCTGTCAGAATGGCTAGCCTTTGCTGGAGAGGATGTGGAGTAAAGGGTACACTCATCCATTGCTGGTGGGAATGCAAACTTGTGCATCCACTTTGGAAATCAGTGTGGCGGTTTATCAGGAAATTCGGGATCAACCTACACCAGGATCCAGCAAAATCAGTCTTGGGAATATACCCAAGAGATGCCCAATCATACTACAAAAGCATTTGTTCAACTATGTTCATAGCAGCATTATTTGTAATAGCCAGAACCTGGAAGCAACCTAGATGCCCTTCAATGGAAGAATGGATAAAGAAAGTATGGAATATATACACATTAGAGTACTACTCAGTGGTAAAAAACAATGACATCTTGAATTTTGCATGCAAATGGATGGAAATAGAAAACACTATTCTGAGTGAGGTAACCCAGACCCAAAAAAATGAATATGGTATGTACTCACTCATAAGTGGATTCTAGCCATAAATAAGGTCAGTGAGCCTATAATTCGTGGTCCTAGAGAAGCTAAACAAGAAGGTGAACCCAAAGAAACACATACAGTTATCCTCGTGGATATTGGAAGTAAATTAGATTGCCAGGCAATAATTGGGATCTTGGGGGTGGGGGGTGGAGTGGGGGTAAGGGGACATGGGGAGAGAAAAGTGAGGAGGGGAGGATGGGGAGACCCTGGGGGAATGGGATGGTTGGGATGGAGGAGGAGTGAATATGGGAGCAGGGAAGAAGATATCTTAATTAAGGGATCCATTTTAGGGTTGGCAAGATATTTGACTCTAGAGGGGTTCCCAGGTGTCCATGGAGATGTCCCCAGCAAGTTCCTTGGGCAGCTGAGGAGAGGGAGCCTGAAGTGGCCCTATCCCAAAGCCACGCTGATGAATATCTTGCATATCACCATAGAAGCTTCATCTGACAATGGATGGAGATAGAGACAGAGACCCACATTGGAGTGTTGGACTGCACTCCCAAGGCCCAGATGAGGAGCAAAAGGAGGGAGAACATGAGCAAAGAAGTCAGAACCGCAAGGGGTGCGCCCACTCACTGAGATGGTGGGACTGATCTAATGGGAGCTCACCAAGGCCAGCTGGACTTGGACTGAAAAAGCATGTGATCAAACCACACTCTCTCAATGTGGCGGACAATGAGGGCTGACTGAGAATCCAAGGACAATGGTACTGGGTTTTGATCCTACTGCATGTACTGGCTTTGTTAGAGCCTAGTCTGTTTGGTTGTGCACCTTCCTGGACCTGGATGGAGGGGGAGGACCTTGGACTTCCCACAGGGCAGGGAACCCTGACCGCTCTTTGGACTGGAGAGGAAGGGGAAGGGGAGGGGGGGGGGGGAAGGAGGGAAATAGGAGATAGGGAGGAGGTGGAAATTTTTTAATGATAAAAATAAAAAAAAAACAAAAACAAAAATAAAACAAAGAAGTAACAGAAGTAAACATCTATTACTCTGGGTCTAATGTTTGTAGCCCTTCCCTAACTCATGTGTTACAAGGAGTTAGGACTTTAGAGAGGTAATCAGGTAATAAGATGTAGACCTCATGAGTAAGATAAGTATCCTATAAAGATATGACAGCACTTGCTCTGTGTCTGCTCTCTACTACGTTAGAATAAAATGAAAAGCATCACTGTAAACTCAAATGTTTAACCTACAAGTCATCTGGAGTTCTCACTCTCCAGATGATGTGTTCTCTAGAAGAACACATTTCTGTTAGCCAGACCACCAACCTGAAAGATTGTTTTGATTGTCAGACCGATAAATTATGCATTTCTAACCACTAATTTGTTCTATAAACAGCTTCATCAAAAACAAAACTGATATTCTGAGGCCACATAATTCAGCCCTGGGTTTTCCTCAGTTGGTTCCTTATCTACACATGAATCACAAAGTGCTGTTTTCTTTCTCCCTAGTCCAACCACTCACTTTAGTATTCAAATAGAACCCAACCCCTAACTTCTTTGCAATGCCAAAAAACAATGTCCCATCATTTATTCTAGTATCGCCTTATTTTTTTACCAACCTGAACCTCATTTGATATTATTTCCCTGGCTCCACATACTTAATATTTGGCCTGCACTCAAAAATGCAAATCCCAGGCCTGAATTAATCTGTCTCTGACTTTAATCACTTGTTTAGGTTGTTCAGTAGTATGCAACTTAAAAAGGCTTTCATGACATCTGATATTGTGGTTATGGATTCCTAGACAGTTCTGTCATTTTAATTGTTCATTTATTTTTCACCGTATCTCTTCAGCTTCCCCATTACATTAGGAGTATCAATCTCATCTCTCAGCATTCAAGGAATTAATTAGTATCTAAAGTAGGATAGGCACTCAACAGGCAAACAAATAATAGTTGCCAAAAATTCCAAAGCAAACAAAAATTTTTATATTCAGTTATCATGTACAAGATCTTCAATTTTAAAACAAAAACCCAATTTATAGAAAGTGGAGGTGGGGTTTTTGTCACCTTTCCATACTCACGGTAGTGCTAAAAATTAATTATCAGAGATGGAAGATAGAAAAAAAAATACAGTGTTTAAAAACTCATACCCCCTATGTAATTAAGACACCCTACCATTAGATATGTGAACACCCTACCATTAGGTCTCAAACTAGGTGTTTACAAAGACACCTGGTCTAGGAGGTCAAGCTTTTCTATGTGCATTATGGTAAATATGCAAAAGAAACTGAATACAATGTTAAAAAATGTAAACTAAATTTAAAGTTGCAGTAAGCCTTCCACATTCAGTCACTCCAAAAACATGGCTGAATTGTCTGCCATTTGTAAAAAAAGTTAAAAGGTACAACTAAGAATAAAAGTGAAAATTTATTATTTTTCAATGATTTCATTTCAAAAGAAAATTCTAGTCTAATGCAAAATGAACTCCAAAGAGAAAAAGAGAATTGTGAATTTGTAAGTGAAAGCATATGCTACACATACTCCTTGTCTCTTTCTTCTTTTCGCTGTCATATCCAGGGTCCCTCCAGGAGTGTTCACAGGCCACACTCTTCCAGACTCATCTCTTCTAGTAAGGATCACTTCTTCATCTTCACGCTAAGGAAAGGTTTAGTTAATGTTTAAAATACTTATAATGCTAAATGTCCACACTTAACAACAACAAATTACAGAAAAGAGTCTAGATTTCAGAAAGACCTATGGGTCATTTTAAGTCTCTTGGATTTTTAACACTCATTGTAAATTAACCATAAAATGAAACACAAGAGGGGGAGAAACCCAAAGTTCATTTTAGCATTTTTATAATTCAATTAATGAGGCAACCTTCAAATGATTCCGTTAACCATTTTTAATTGGGCACAATGGGGCTGAATCTAAGGCCTCATGTATAATACTAGGTAAGCAGCTGACCAATGAGTCATATTCTAACCCTGATATTTCTTTTTTTAAAAGAAGATTTTGAGATACAGTCTTACTAAATTATCCAATGTGGCCTTCAACTCACTTTGTATTTCACAATAACTTTGAACTTGCCATATCCCGCCTCCCTCCCACATGACTAAGATTCCAAGCTTGTGTTAAAGGCCCAGTTCAAACAGTTTCATCCAAATACATTGAAGAACGATAAAGGAAAGAACAAAGATGGTGGCACTGCCACAGAGGGCCATATTGAAGTCTGTGGTCTATGTTGCCTCCAGAGGCAAAGTTGAGGCATATAATTTCTGCTGTAATCTGGGGGCCACGTTTGCTATCTGCTGCCAGCAAAGGCTGTGTGTACATCTGTTGTCTATGCTCCCACCTTTAATCCCAGCACTCGGAAGCAGAGACAGGTGGAGCTAGTTCCAGGACAGGCTCCAAAAGCTACAGAGAAGGCCTGTATCGAAAAACTAAAAAAAAAAAAAAAAAAAAAAAAAAAGAAAGCCAGCATATGACAGAGCTATCTGTCATATGCTGGTGATTCCAAGATTTATTGATTTCCCAGATCAGGGTGATGCTCAAAAAGACCTGGGTGAATTATGTTATTAATGCAATAAAAGATCTAAAAACTGAACATTCATAGATCTTTGAAGTCAGCACACAGAAGTTTTATGTTGATTCAATTCAACATAAAAATTGAGACATTTTGTATATTCTTATATATTTTTATTTTACAAGCATAAATGTTTAGTCTGAATACATGTGTACCACATGTGAAGCTAGTCCCAGAAGAGGCTAGAAGAGTGATACAGATCCCACAAAACTGGAGTTATAAATGTTTGTGAACAGCTATGTGCATGCTGAAACTAAACTTATAGTTCTACCACCAAGACAGCTCTCTAGCCCCATTTACTATAATCTTTATTTAGTTTTCTCATAAAGTCAATCAATTTTATGACACTATCAGTTCAGTGTGAACATACACACACACACACACACACACACACACACACACACACATTTTATACATCTATAAAAACCTTAATTCTGCACAGAAGACAAGAGGAATTAAACTGAACATGGCAAACCCAAGAATCTGTGCAGCCTTCAAATGTTGGCCCTGTACTTCTTTTCTTTTCTAACGCTTCACAATTCTGGCAAATTTGCACTTTATTTCCATTTCACAGAAATAGTTACCTTCTTGTTCAACAAGGAAAACAAGAATGTAATCACAGCCAACCATCAGTTCTCAAGTAATTTTAAGAATATTCACATTGCTATTACTACGAATCATTAAGAAAGCAACCATTATACTATTTGTGATTTTCTGTCTTAGCCACCTTTTCAGGCCAAGAAAAGGTAAACATTTTAAGTATATAGAAGACCTGGAACACTGTAAAATAACAGAGTCCTCAATAAATGCTTGATAAATGGAATTACCAAACTAGGGCCTCAAACTGATTGAGACACTCTCAAAATTAAACCACTTCCTTCCCTTGGGTGTCACTTTGTTACTTTCATTTTCACGATGTTGCCAGTTCATAAGACCTGAAACCAACTTATGCTATTCACTTACAACAGAGAGGTCTGTTCTATGGAGAAAAAAAAAAGCCTGTCATTGCACAGTGGCAAACATTTTTAATCCCAGTGCTTGGGAGGGATAGGCAGGTGGATCTGTGTTGAATTCAACACCAGCTGATCTACAATAGTGAGTCCCAGGACAAGAATTACAGAGTAGAGAGTGCTTATCGCAAGAAATTAAAAGTGAAATTAGGCAATCCAATCTTAACATCTATGTAATTTATATTATTTTTTCTCCAAAAATGCAAATACATTTTCTGCTACAAATAGAAAGAATTTATAAATGCTTTCCGTTTCGTAAATGCTCCAGAGTTTTACATTATTCCCAACAAACACTGTTCAAACCACAATTTTTGATTTTACAAACACTGAAAGCGAATGTCTAATTACAAACATTTTCTATGGATATTCTTATAAACAAATCTCAATATGCTTTAGTCCTATCAATTCTTTATCAATAAAACAGCCTTATAGCTGGCAAAAATCATCCATACACAAATGAAAGTTCTAAATAGGTAAGCATTTTTATCTGTTCCATTCAATAATAAATAGACAAATAAACCATAGACAAAATCATTTGTATTATCTGAAATGAATATCTAATTCAATTCTCTTATTCTACTGTAGGAAAAAAAATTTAAGGACATCATCAAGCCACAGAATTTAGATATCCTTGGCCTGAGGATGAGGCTTTCACCAGGGAATGCGAGTGAAATTTACATACAGACATCTAGAATTACAATACCACTCCTGTAATAAAATAACATTAAACAAAGTAATATACATTCAAACAAGCTTTCATTACTTACCTTTATTCTGGATCTTTGTGTTGATATCTGTGCTATGGTTTCTTTGAATTTATTTGCCTCTTTAAGTTGGGCTTTAAGTTGTTCAGCTAATTCCTTCAAAAGGAAAAATCAAATAGGTAAGCTGTGTTGCTAAATTTTTCATCACAGAATATTTCAAAGTTTTAAAGCAGTCAACACCTGACTCTGATAACCAATTGACACTAATTTTAATAAGTATTCTTCAGTTACAAATTTCTTGAGTATTGAGACACTCTGTTTATGATTTTGAGGTGAGTAATTTCAAGAAACTATACTTTGAGAGAGGTAAGAAAATGGAAAAAATACATATCATCAAGAATTACACTTTTGCAGCTGTGTGATGGTGGCACACATCCTAGCACTTGGGAGGGAGAGTCAGGCAGATCTCTGTGAGTTCAAGGCCAGCTTGGTCTACAGAGCAAGCTCCAGGACTGGCTCCAAAGCATTTACATTTAAATTTTAAAAAAAATCCATGTATATTTCAGTGAATGAATTCACTATCCTGGAACACAGAAGAATTTCTGTCTTTGCTATTCTGCCATATCAAAGTTAATACAAATTAAAATAAATGGTAATATATGTGTATGTGTGGTAAATGAATGAGTAGGTCCTACCAAATTATCCCTATTTTTATTTAATTGTAGGCAAATTGGTCTTAATTCATAAATATTTTGTATGTTCTTAAACATTTTAAATTTACTGTTGAGTTTCATCATAGCATATGTATGGAGATCAGAGCACAACTTGAAGTAGTAATAGGTTGGTGGTACACATTAAACTCGGGTTATCAGCCTTTATGACAAACTCCTACTGAGTCATCCGACCTGTACCAAGATTTTAGGTTCTTATGTGTTATTTTAAGAAAGTAATAATAAGCAGTGTTAGGCTGCAGACACCTCAGTGGTTAAGAACATTTGCTGCTCTTACAAAGGACCAGCTATCAATACCCAGCACATACTTCAGGTGGTTCACAACCACCTATAACTCCATAGCTCCAAAAAGAGCTAACACCTTTTCTGGCTTCAGAGGGCATCATAGTATACACACATATGTGCGTGCGTGCACGCGCGCGCGCACACACACACACACACACCAATAAAAATGTTTAATAAAAATTAAATCTTTACGAAAAGAAACTAATAAGCATTCTTTAGTTAAAATGGAAATGAAAGAAAGACATCGTTAATGCCTCCAACTATGTCCCAGATGTTAGATGTTAGAAATGCAAGAATAAGTAGAAAGGTATGTAAAAATAACATGTTTTTCATAAATTCCAGAAACCTAAAAAGGAGAGATAATATGTATTTCTCCAATAGAGAAACCACAAGAGTACTATCTCTAGAAATTCTCAAGAAACAGTACTGGCATAACTGCATGTGAACATGTACAAGAATGTAAATAGATCCATATCTATCCTCATGCACAAAACTTATATCCAAATGGATCAAAGACCTCAACATGAATATAATCACACTGAACCTCACTAAAGAGAAAGTGGGAAGGAGCCTTAAACACATGGGCACAGGAGACCACTTCCTAAATATAACCTCAGTAGCACAGACACTGAGAGCAACAATCAATAACTAGGACCTCCTGAAGCTGAAAAGCTTCTGAAAGGCAAAGGACACAGTCACTAAGACAAAATGGCAGTCTACAGAATGGGAAAAAAAATCTTCATTCATCTCACAGACAGAGGACATATAAAGGACTCAAGAAACTAGACATCAAATTACCAAGCAATCCAAACAAAAAATGGGATAGAAATCTAAACAGAGAATTCTCAACAGAAGAATCTCAAATAGCCAAAAGACACTTAAGGAATTGCAAATCAAAATGACTATGAGATATCATCTTATACCTGTCAGAATGGCTAAGATCAAAAAACACCCAATGATAGCTCATGCTTGAGAAGATGCAGATTAAGGGGAACACTCATCCGTTGCTGGTAGGAATGTAATCTATCTCAAGATCCAGCAATACCACTCTTGGGCATATACCCAAAGGATGCACACTCATAACACAAGGACATATGCTTAACTGTGTTCACAGCAGCATTATTCATAACAGCCAGAACCTAGAAATAACCTAGATGTCCCTCAACAGAAGAATGGATAATGACAATGTGGTACATTTACACAATGGAGTACTACAAGTGGAAAAAACAATGACATCTTAAAATTTGCATGGAAATGGATAGAAATAGAAAACACCATCCTGAGTCAGGTAACCCAGAATCAGAAAGACAAACATTTTATGGACTCACTCATAAGTGAGTATTAGACTTAATGCATAGAATTACCAGCCTAAAATCCCAGGAAAGCTGGGTAACAAAGACAACCCTAAGAGAGACATACATGGATCCACCTGGGAAGATATCCTGAGATAATTGGGAGGTGGGAGAGAAGGGAGGGTGAAAGGGGAGAGAGAGGAGATGAGAAGAAAGGAGGAGAACATGAGGGAATTGGATACTAAAAAGGGGGAAGGTCAGTGAGGGGGTGAAAAGAAAGTGATATCTTGACTGATATAATGGCTCTTGCCATTAAATGGCACTAGGAAATTCCTAGGAATCCATAAGGATAACCCCAGCTAGAACATTCTAAGAAACAGTGGAGAGGACACCTAAACTGGCCTTCCTCTGTAATCAGATAAAAGAATCTTCAACCAGCAACTGATGAAAACAGATAAAGAGATCTACAGCAAAGAACTGGGCCGGTCTACAGGAGACCAGTCCAAGAGAGGGAGGAGCTAGGGGTCAACACCATGATTATGATACCCACTGAAACAACTAATTATGATTATGATTATCTCTGGACTGATAGATAGCAAGAGAACCTGCAAAGGTCCAAACTAGGTCCAGTGAATGTAGGAGACAGTTGTGAGGCTTGAGCAATCTGTGGGGCCACTGGCAAAAGGACCAGGATTTATTCCTAGTGCTTAAACTGGCATCTAGGAGCACATTCTTTTTGGAGGGCCTTGGTCTTGCCCGGAAGTGAAGTGTCAGACTTTGTTGACTCCCCATGGGAAGCCTTACCCTTTCTGAGTAGTGTAGGAGAGTTGCACTGGGGGAAGGGTGGGGCAGGAGGTGGTGAAGAAGTGAGAATGAGGATAGCTATGTAAAATGAGAAAAGATTGTATTAAAAAACTTCCTAATAATAAAAGAAAAAGGAAATTAAGAAGTAATATCTTCAAAGAATGCCACATCTAAATGGCTAAAGCTTCTAAATTTATCTGTGAAGGTTAAACATTTCATTCTTATCCAAGTGAACAGAACACACGGGTCTTACCATATTTCCCATCATCTCTGCCTTGATAATCTTGGCCCCCAACTTGTTCTTTTCATCAACGTTCAAGATACAGGTGGACTCTGCATCTGGACTGCAGGTGAAACAGGACAGGAAAAGAGCATATGCCATAATTCAAAATTATGCATTATCTTAAACTGACCTCAGTAAGGCATTCAGGACCAATAGAAGATCACAATTCTAACACACAAGAATTACGTTCAGTCTTCTAGGGTGAACTGCACTTCAACATTCTGTTACAAAGTTAAGAATGGCCTATTACAGTTGCAATAATAACTGAAGAGTACTGCTAACTGTAAGATAAATAATATACAAGTTAACATCTTCATTTTTAAAAAACTCAGCCAGTGTACTAGTGCACACCTGTAATCCCAACACTTAGTAGACCAAAGTTGGAAGCTGCCATGAGTTAGAAGCCATCTTGAGCATATTAAATGAGGCCACTCTGGGCTAGACTGAGAGACCCTGTCTCGGAAACAAAATCTATACTGATTTTAAAAAGAAAGCCAACAAAAGCATTAATGTCAGACCACAATTTTTTATATCTTAAGAAATTTAGTATTCAAGATGATGAGTTACTCACCATCTTATGACTATAAACCTGGGATGGTACATTTAGCCATTCAAGAAATAAAAGCAGCAATTGCGTGTTATTTTGCTAAATTGGTCTATAACTAACCATAAGCAAAATAATTTAAAATTGAGATCATTTTAAAGTCCGAAAAGCCTCACTTGAGAGAAAATTTCAGCCAACGTCAGATAACCCCAGCTGAAGATTCTTAGGAGTCAAGGCTACAGAAAAGGAGGGTGAACCCAGCAAGAGTCTGGAGGAGTCCTGAGCAAGGAAAGAACAGTAACAATCACACAAGTCCAAAGTAGTCCCAGGTCATGGTATAGACTGCCAAGAGAAAGTGATACCATGAAAGAATCACTCAGGGCTGCCCTGGAGTATTCAGGAAAGAAACACCTGTAGTCATAGAAACAATTCTCCCACATAATTAAAGAAATGTTATAAGGAATTCTGGTAATAGTGTATGGTCCCACTAGTCACACAGCCAAGTTGCATAAGTGGGAAAATACTGGGTAGAAGCCTTAGGAAATAATATGTCCTGCACACTAAAATGCTACTTGGAGCCCAAATTAAAAAAAAAAAAGTTAAGATTAAGAGTAAGAAAGTAGCAAATGCTTTCCAATTAGTTACATTTCAAAACAAAATGCAAAAATATTTAAAGATGTTATACACTTGAATGAAAATGGTCTTATAAAATTGATCAATTCCTATGATGACTATATGCCAATAAAAAATAACAGGAGAAATGCAGTGTTCAACAAGTAAATACCATTATATCTAATATCCAGGCATTATCAAATATGCAAGTAGAAAAGTATAATTCATATTTAGAAGAAAAATCTACCAAACAAAAGCCATCCAGAACTGACACAGTTACAAGAAATAAGTATATTCAATTATTAGGATAAATGTATCCCATCTGTTCAAAAGAGCAATTGAAGAGCCACTTTAACCAGGCCTGGTGGTGCACATCTAATGTCAGGAGGATAAGGCAGGATGTTAGAGTGTTCAAGGCCAGCTTGGCATCTAAAGGCACAACAATAAAAACAAAAAAGATGCAAATTGAACTTCTAGTCAGGGAAACAACCCAGAGATTAAAAACACCACATTAAGATTTTTAAAAAATCAGATTACTAATGGACCAGTACACTATACAAAATGAAACAGAAAAATTGAAAAACAGCATCAGAAGGCTGCATGGCAACCCTAAATACTCTATCATATGGGGAGTCCCTAGAAGGGAAGGTAAATAAAGAGACTCAAATCCCCCAACTTTATTGAAAATGAAGAAGCAGCTCAAGGAAGTTTGAACTGTGAAGATAGATGGGACAACAGAAAACAAAAGAATATCTGAAGATTTTTTTTATGCTATTGAGCATACCACCAACCAAAGCATATGAAATTTGAAAATGACTTGAGAAAGAGCTAAATGTTTTAGTATTAATATCATATACTTGATCTTACATGATAATCACACTCAAAACACCAGATTATTAAAAGTCTATAAAATTCCCTTTAAAATATACACACACATGTATTTACTAGATATTTAGATATTTATGGGACAAAGTATATTTTATGTACAGACAGATTTCCCAAATGATCACTTGATGCATATGCAGGTGTAAATAGTCCAAAGTAAAATAAATAAAAACCATAACACTAAAAGGCCCCAAACATTTGAGATAAGGGATATTCAGCCTATACATCAATAACATTATCTAACTATATGTATTAAAAAGTAGATATTAGGGGCTGGTGAGATGGCTCAGTGGTTAAGAGCACTGACTGCTCCTCCAGAGGACCCAGATTCAATTCCCAGCACCCACATGGCAGCTTGCAGCTGTCTGTAGCTCCAGTTCAAGAGAATCTGACATCATTATACCAATGCGCATGAAATAAAGTTGAATAAAGTTGTTTTTTTTTTAAAGTAGATATTAGCTATGGACTTTTTAATTAACAAAAATGTTCTGTAAATATAAGGATATATATGTGCTATAGGTAAAAAGAAGAAACATACAACGTGTCAACATTAGTCAAAGGTTGAATTATCTATATAAATATGTGGCAGATCACTGTGCAACACCAAATATTATATTATTCTAGACAAAGAGTGTCATTTCATAAGAAAAACAGGCTGAGCTATCAAAGTACATACCATTCATATCCTAGTTTTCCTGTATCTTAAGGTTTTATCTTACTTCACTGAAATTAAGCTATTATTTTGTTAACATACGTTCTGAGCAAATAACAAAAAATAAACAAACTCTAAGAGAGAGAAGGAGAAACTTCTTAGCTAATGACCATGTATGGAATTTAAAAAGATACATTTACTTTCTCTGTCATAAAAAAGACAACTTAACAGATACCATATGAGTTTTGTTGTTAAGGACACTGTATTATTCTTTGCTATAGAAACCATTTTGTCTTATACTAGATGAACACAAAGAGTAAAATTCTAGAGCATAAAGAATAAAAATATTAGAAGAACAGGAATCATTTGGAAGGGATTTTTCCTTCCCTTCATGTTCTTTTGAGCCCATATTTTAAAAAGCAATTAAAACAAACAGTGGGGCACTGAATTCATATGATTAGGAGAATATCATAACTATTTATTTGCCTCTGTGGGTTGTTACTGCTTGTTGAACTCTTTTGTATGAAAATCTCTCAAATTAAGTAATACCTCATTTTTTTATTGTATTATAAATGCAATTTATTTGACTTTCAGCAACCCAGTTCTATTTCTACAAATTTTACTTCCCACTCAACATAATTTTCTCAGTTTGTATTATTTCCCATTCAGTTAAATTTCTGCTTTCAAAATATACTGTTCTTGTCCTTCAGACAGAAGTTAAAGGTAGTAGTTAAATTTCTGCAGGAATATATAATATAAAGTAGAGAACCACAGTTCACACCCTCCTAAAGACAATCTGTCATTTATGATAACAGCAAATGCACCTAATTCCTAGGTCTGTTTCTCACATATCTCTGCTCACTCCATAAGAAACTGTTTGCTTTCCTTTGGCTCTCTGTCTGGTCTACTTCTCCTCCCAAGTACTTAATACCTCATTAGATTTTCCTATCCAAAAATATATGCCCAATTTATCTATTTCAATCTCAAGATTGCAAGATAAGGAAATAAAGAGCTGAAGGAAGAATGGCTCACAGATCTTTACCTGTTAACCTAAGAGAAGTTTACTAAAATCCATATATGGGACAGTTCTACACAAGCTGTCAATGAAAAAGGAAGGAGTCTTATAACCAATTTAAGTTGGACCAGATGAGAAGGAAGAGTAGAAGCCATTCATCAAGGCATCCCCTTCCTCTAAGGAAAGAGAGTAACTACATATTAAATATCAATGTAGAAATAGGTTCACGTTCATTTCTATAAATGAAAGGACCATCTGAAACCAACCAACCAATCCTGATTTTCTATTATTAGCTATTCACACACTAGCAGTCATGTATTTATAATGGAACCTATTTCTTCCTTTCTTGAAAAGAAGGAAAGTCTGAAATGTTTTAGGACAAAGAGTTTCCCAATCCAACTGACATGGGTTCAAATCTAGACTGCCATTAGCCATATTTATATACTGGCCAAGTACCTCAAACTATCTAAGACTTTAAAAAAAAAAAAAAAGGAGGGCTGGGAGAGATGCCTCAGTAGTTAAGAGCTACTGAGCTCTTGATTCCTTGTATAATAACTAAATTCAGTTCCCAGTGGTTCACAACTGCCTGTAACTCCAGAACCAGGGGATCTGACACCCTTTTCTGAATTCTGCAGACTCTTGAATATAAATATATGGTGTATAAACATACAATCAGGCCCATATACATAAACTCTTTAGGAACACATACATATACATAAAATAAAAAGTATATATCTTAATAAAAAGAAAGCGACTAATACCAAGAAATAGGTTCATGTTCATTTCTATACTGCCAAAATAAAATGTCAGAATGTACAAAATTACAGGAGTTGTAGGAAAGCAATAAACAAAGTACCTACTTCAGTGCTTGATAATTATACATGTTCTTGCCACTGACAGCTAATTACTAAATCCCAGAAATTTCCAAACAGTCCTACATTCCTTCTTCTTGAAGTCTAATGATGAAATCACTTCAAAAAAGGTTAAAAGAAATATCTGGAGCAATGAATAGACAAGTTAACAAATCCTTCTAAGGAACCAATGAAATAACTTCATCAGTGAATCTCAAATGCTCTATCAAATGGCACCTTTCTTCTACACCCACTTCTCTTGGACAGGACTTCTTTTCTCAGCACCGCTTCTTTACTAGTACATTTACCTTTAATCTATTCCATTTTTCAATCCAACCTTCCTACTTACAGAAGCTTTTAAAATGTAAAATCAGTCCTTCAAGAACCCTTGAGATACTTCCTTCTTACTATTTATAAAACACAGTCTAACTGAAGCATGACTTTTGAAGCTACTTGCAGGGTTCAGTGGTTTTAAGAACATTGTCCATTCACTTAACCATAT